AAACATGTTATTTAACAAAGGTAAAAATATACCACCATTGATAAGGTGAAGTTTTCTGTAAATTTATGAAGGCATATTGAGTATCAGAACTTTGTAAGTCTGAAAGTTTCTACAGAACAGGGGACTTTCTGATTGCTCAGTAACATGAAAACCCGATGTTGATTATTTTCCCATAACACTACACCCTGATGTGCTTTAGTGCTTGCATAGTTACAGAGGACGGCATTTACTGAGTCCATCTTTAATAAACCCACACACCTGGCCTAAGTGTCTCTATCACTTTACAAACCACTAAAACTGGATCAAAAATACCATCCACTCGCATAGCCTTTTTTTTCCAAGCTATAAACCTGAAAAACTGGGTAAGACAAAAGGAAAACAACAAGAAGTATTGTCAACACATAAAGCTTGCACTTTGTCACTCACGGAAAGACCGGTGGCTCGAAGATGGTCTTGATGACTCCAGCATAGATGGCCAGAATAGAGAGGATGACGCAGGCCAGGAAGACAAGTGCTAGCTTATTGACATACTTCACACCCACAAACACCACCAGCGCCATCAGGGCTAGGCAGCAAGTGCCGTACACTCGCATGTTGTTCAGCATGGCCTCTGCTTCAAACTCCTTCTCCTCTGCCTTAAAGATGGCAGCACTGGGCACTATGTAGGTCTGGATTATAAACAATGGACAATTAAAATGTCAACCTGATCTAGCCAGTAATTAAGTTAAGAGTTTATTAAGCTGCATGTAGGTGAGGACTTTATGCAAACCTGGAATGACTTCAGTACTTTAATAAATTATTTTCAGGGTAAAGGGCAAAATTGGAGAAACTAATGGTATGACTCTAGGGGTCGTATTTGTAACTTGGATTGATTGACTGGCTGCTCTCTCTTCTTGTAGGTGTTTGGGTGTGTTCTTTTAATTACAGGCCAATGTGATGATTGGCTAGCAACAGGGGAAGCTGCCCATATAACGAAGACTGTGAAAGGAAGTAGGGGGGCGCGTTTGCTTCTGGTGTGGGTTTCCGACACTTTCCTTGTTCCCAGACTTTCCTTGAGCAGAAGCGGCCAGGCCAGACCTGTTTGCTTCACTTCGGCTAGTAGATGGTGTTGTCCTGTGACTGTAGTGTGTAGCAATAAGCACATATAGGAGTGCGGTGAAACTACTGAACATCCTACAAATCTCGTATATTACTGTAAATAAATTAGATGGAGTAGCTTTTTCTTTGTAATACTTTTCTCCTGTTTTCTGTCAGTTAAGGAGTGAGGGACGTTGCTATATTTTCTTTCTTTCGGTTTGTAAATAGGTTAGGGAGCTCCCTACAACTTAACTTAAATGGCTTTCTTTTTATTTTCTTTCGTCCTGTCTCATATGTTACCCCCTTTTCATTTTGTAAATAAACCCAATTATGGTGGTAAACGCTGTTGTCTGAGGAGTTCTGGGACCTGGGAGGGTGCAGATAATTCTGTCACTTTATGTTATAGCCTGACCCTAGACTGGGCCATAAAACTAATGTGTTCACACAGAACTCACCAGAAGAATCTCAATAGTACCAAGGATGTACATCGCTCCAGCAAATGTGGTACCCAAATAGAAACAGAGTCCTACAGCTCCTCCAAACTCTGGGCCCAAAGACCTAGAGATCATGTAATACGATCCACCGGCTATGATGAGAAAACAGAGACATGGAAAATAATAGTCATAAACATTTGCACTGTAAAGTCTGAAGTGGTCCATATAATTCATTGTTGTTATGAGTGTATACTAAACAAAAGTGGCCATAGTGATAACCAAGAAAATAATGCCATCTCACCTGGAACTACTCCATTTGTAGCAATGGCACTCATAGATATGGCTGTGAGCATTGTCTGAAAGAAACAATAGCGCAGAACACTTTAGAAAAGAGTGTAGACTCACAATTGACAAAGGACGGACTCAAGTATAACTGGGTCAGACTCGAGTGGAACTGCTTCAAAATAGTACATTAAAGGTATAATCAGCAACTGTGGTATTTTGAAACTCGAAATCCTTACAAATACAATTCTCTCCTTTTTGTGCTTCTTCCAAAGCCACACCCTAAACCACATGTAAATATTTAGAAAACCCCACATTTTTTTTGTGTTCCAGAGTTGAACTCATGATCTCCTGGTGATAGAGTGAATGCGTTTTTGTTGCACCACTTGGGAGTCCTGGCCTGCAACACTTTTGTGTGTTAAAATAACCTTGGCCTATTTTTTTGGGCCTAGAGTATAGGCTAGAACACCTGAAAGCTAGTGCAGGGAATGAAGCTTTCTGAAAGGACAGGCAACATGACTTGCACGGAAGTAGAAACGCCTTTTTGTTGTGATTGCTTATATATCGTTGGTCCATATAATTTCTGACATTCACAGAGCCTGGCCGCCACAGAGACCAGAGTTAATCCTCTAAGCTGACTTTTTTTATTCTCCTCTAAGGAGAACTTCACCAAATGTTATTAAAAGTGTTTTTAAAAGCATTTAACTGTCGTAAAAGAGGAATCAGCACTTCATAAACACTTAATTGCTTTTTAAGGAGATTTCTGTCACTGTTACATAACACACCTCTGTGTTCTAGTGTCCTTGAGCTAACGCGGACAAATGATCGATATAAATCCCTTCAGCTGCTCCAGTCTCAGTCCAAAAGCTGCCCTAAAGCCACTTACTGGTCCATTACCTCAAACGGGAGCTTAGTGATTGCAAGAGCATCGCTTGAATGAACGATTCTATGATCTCTGGCAAACACTATGAGGAGTAATAAATTATTATTCATAGGCTCTATTATGATCATTCAAATAACATCTGCTGAATAACAAAAAGCACACTGATAATGCATTTATAACAGTATAATCAGTAAAAATGACTAGGAGTCATTTAAGCTTTGAAATTTCCCTGAGAGCCACTGTAAACAAAATATTAACGCCAGGACTATAGTATTCAGAGTAGGCAGAATCATACCAATGTAACGTGAGTCAGTCAACCTCGACAGAGAATGTCATACACACTGTGACAGCAGTGCAAGCTGGGCAATGTGACTAACTCTTCAACCTTTCTCTGAGAACTTATTTTATCAGCTTGTCTTAAAATCGAGTTGCTATATAAAATAACATATGCTGCAATCAGAGGAACCTTCATTACATTTAATTATATGACATTTTTTGACCTGGCAACGGCACAACACAGTGCAAAAGTAACTCAGCGTATATTTTTGTAACTAAGCATTCCTTCAAAAGTGAAATCTGGACACTGACACAAAGACAGGAAGCGCATTGCCACACTTGTAAGTAAGTGTTCCCTCGAAAAAAAAGACGACTGATCCCATTGTCTGCTCTGCGCTATAAATATACACCTGTTTCAGCGTCCCGAGCACTGAAGATTACACACCAAGCTGCCAAGAGGTATAAAATGCCGTTTAGAGCTCCGTTTGTAGAGGAGGGCAGACTAAACTTCCATTTAACTCATTCTCTCACACACAGCTTCTCTTTTCTTTGTCCCTGCTGTACGCGATCTCAGTGAAAAGTAACGCTTCAATTCTTCAGAAAAGAATAAAACATTTAGTATGCAACATGCAAAAATATCTAAATTGAACCCCTTATGGCTTGTGGCAAAACTCAAAATTTTACACTCCATCAGGGCAAAAATTCAAACGACATGTTTAGAGCAAACCTTCCGAGCAGAGTATACTTACACAACAGCAGCACATGGATACGATGATGAAGGCCTCCAGGATGCCTGCAGTTCCCACAATCCAGGTCATTCGCAGAAACAGGATGACCCCCAGGATATTCTGAAGGCAGGGCAGGTAGACGCCCATGAACGTCCCCATCTGTGGACTTTTCTTAGTGAGGTAGAAGCACAAAACACAAACTCTTTTCACACCCTTGATTAAAATAAGCAATGATAACGGAATAGAAACTTGAAGAGGCATTCATTTCGAGAGGATTGCATTAACACTGTAAGTTAACACTCTAAATCCTGTTGTTGTAATGCAATACTGAAAGTATTGTGAAACTATTTTGGACTTCTGAATTGTGACCACAGCTTATAACTTTAGATATATAGTTACTAGGTATAAGTAACTATTTCTTTATGGAATAGAATAACTTGAGGAAAACACAAAGAAAAACAGAAATTACCACAAATTACCAAGTAATTACTTTACTTGATCGGGGATGGAAAATTCAGTAGCCTGGGACCCCAGGATAGGCAGATTTAATGTCCGGGCTATTACTATTTTATTCCTAGTTGCCCAGCAGACAAGTAGGTTTAATAGCGGGCTAGCTATAGTGGCTTAGAGTAAACCACTCCTACTCTCGTACACTCCTACCGCCAAATAGTGTATCCTAAAGGACCTAAGGGTCCATGTACCATCAAAGTAGTTGTACCAATCAACTATGGCTGTTCATCAAACTCACAGCTCTTATTCATTCTAACATCTACAGTATGTGAGAAGCATTTTGCAATGTCATAACCCCTTATTGGCATTTCTCTGTATTTTTCTGCAGCTTGACCAACCAGCAGAAGCCGTGCCACTCTTAGCATAAAACATGACAAGGCAATGAGCCCAGTGTGTGGTTTTCATGGCATGACTTAGTAACCATTTAGAAATTTCAACAATAACAAACAAAGTAGGATGTTAAGTTGAAGAAGCCCACAAATTGAGCTTAGAGTTGTGCTGATCCCCTAGATATGTGTGTGGGTAAAACAAACTGTAGGGCATTCAAAATACGATTTATAATTCTAACAGTTCAAGAATTTTTTTCTGATCGACGTGAGCGTGCGTAACCTAAATCATTCTAAATGTTGTTCCTCTTTCGGCTGTTCCCATTAGGGGTCGCTACAGCGGATCATTGGTCCGCGTATTTGATTTGGCACAGTTTTTACGCCGGATGTCCTTCCTGATGCAACTCTCCCCAATTTTATCTGGGAGAGTTGCATCAGGCACTGGGAGCGCACTGTTACACACAACCCCAGTGGCTGGGGTTGGTTCCTTAGCCGGGAATCGAACCCGGGCCGCAGCAGTGAGAGTACTAAGTGAGTGGCCTAACCACTAGTCCTCCAGGGACCATAAGCTATCATTCTAAATATTATTACAACCTGTAAGGGAGTGTTTGCTTTGCAACATGTTCTAAGTATCACCATAAACTCTCCATTCAAGAATGTTTTTTGTTATTGCAATTTTTCATAAGAGGAACAAGATCTACATTTACTCAAGCCTGTGACTGAAGGGTGCCAAAACATACACAAACCGACCAGAGAGAAACAAAAAAAGAGTGTGTTTTCTGTACACATAACCTGAAGACAAAAAACACTTTAATATGATCCTATTTCACTGAAGGACAGAGACTAAAAACAAAGATTTACACCTTGAGTGGAGAACCTTATAAATTATATGAACAGTAGTGCTACTTACAGAACAGTGCTACTTACTTTCACAGTTTTCTTCTTTGCTCCCTCCTCCTCATCTGCCTCCTCATGCTCCCGAACCCCCTGTGTAAGGTTAGTGTAATTGGCCAGTTTGCTGAGAAGCGATGACACCATTGGGTTGCTGTCCATCTCTTCCTATAAAGTGTAAAACTCATGCATTTTATTCATTAAACAAAAAAAAAATGGCATCCAGACATGGCTGCATATTATGTGCCAAAGATTACAACTATGAAACACTGGCACTCAGAGGAAATCAGAGGCTGGAGGCCTGATAGTAACTTTTCCAAAATCAAAAGAGATGTACGGCAAAGACACAACACAATACAATGGCAATATCAAAAATGCAGGTTGTTCACCGGCCTATTTTTTTTTTTATAACACACAAAAACAACTGTAAGTACATATCAACATTCTAGCACATTTTAACATATTAAGAACAACTTCCAAATGAATGAGGAAACCCTCATTATTAGCTTGACTAAATGGACAGAGTACCTCAAATAGTGCCATGTTTTTGCCATCGTAGAGGCTGCCCTTGTCATTGTCTGAGTTGATGAAGGGACTGCTTTCCTTTGGGTTTCCATCACCTGAGGCAAAAGAAAGGCAGGATGTTATACTTACAAGTTATGCTCTTATATTAGCTACAGTTACCTTTGCAATCTAAAGAACAAATGAAGGTCCCCATTTTAGATCATCATCTTAATATACACTATGTAGCCCATCACACGGTTACATTGTCATTACATACACTGACATGTGCATGTGTGACAGTGCTGTTTATTCAGTTCTTATACTACATTGCTTGTCATCATTCATCAGGTTAATTACAGAGGCTGGCACACAAATAAACAAAAATTGCACAAAGGAAAATAATTTAAACCATATAATTTAAAGCTATAATTTAGCATAACATAAAAAAATGAATACTCTGAATACTTTCTGAATGGATTGTATACAGTGCTATATACAGCTTAACTGAGACCAATTAATTAACCAATCAAATATATGTATGTATAACTGCCCAAGACAATGAGAAAGCTGAGAGACCATGTCCATCTGAAGCTTTACTGTAGTACCGCAGGAAACACGCACCTTCTGCAGTGCCAGGTTAGGATCGACTAAAACGATCAAGCCCTTTCACGCCATTGTTTTAATCATTTACAACTCAACCCTCTATATTTTGTCTCTGTATGTTTCACAGACTAAACCAATTTCTCCATGCAAGCATAACAAAGTACAACTGAACTAAAGAAACAAAATGCAATGCCAAAGGCAGTGGAACAACCTGAGCACACTAAACACAGACCAATCAGTCCGTCGGTCCCTGCCGCATTGATTTTCCTATAATTGGAATGTAAAGGTGATCGATGCCATCCCTCTGGCTCTAAGGGTCATTCAATCCAACACTACCGATGTCCTAAACTGCAGCCTATGCTTTGCTGTTGTGGATTTCACCTTTGTATTGCTCATATGCATAGAAGCAAGTAATAACCTTATAAGTATTGTATACTTCCATGGAACATGCAGTTATTGGTTATAATTATATGCTGTACATGATTTACAATCTCTGGAAAGGAAAAATATCCATGGGGAATGAAATAGCAGAGCAGAGGCAGGGTCTAAATGAAAAATTCTTATATAACCTAACTTTTACAAAGCATTAATTACATCGCATATAGTAGCAGGTCGTATAGAAATGATATCAGTTAATGGTCCATGGCTGTTCCCTACAAAAAGGCAGAATAATTTAATTAAATCTTGGGTGGGTCAGACCATTGTGGTCTGAAGAGTCAAGAATTGAACAATCATTTGCAGAGTTGCAAATGCTTTGTCTAACCAAAAACCAAAAGTACCCTCTTAAATCCTTAACCACTGAGAAAAGGGCAAGGGGATATGCCCCTGGGTAAAATTATATCCACTGAGCTCAGAATGCAAGAATCAACTGTCTTTGCTTTGCTTGCTTGGTTATTTATTTCTTTTTTATGTATTGTTTCCTGCTTGTATATTAATTATTGTTTTTACCCAATGGCAAAAGTTCTCATTTTGGCTCAAAATGGATATACCAAAAAAAAAAAAAAAAAGCTCTGACAATATGTGAATTCATAAAATAGCTCCAGTATGAGATCAGTTCAACAGATCAACTTCTGCTTCCTCACTCATCGCTGCTCAGACTGGATTAGTTTCTCACTTTCGATGTCTGTAATAAAAAAATCTTCATGTCTCCTCTGTGATAAAACTTCTGCATCTAGATGGATAAGAATAAACTAAGTAATTAGGTTCTTACGAACATGTTTATTTATTAGAACCGTATAATCATGATATTGTCGTGTGTACAGGTCACGCTTTAAGCTTATATGCATTACAGTTATTATAGCAGGTAATATGAGGTATTAGACTCTGCTCATTGGCTTTATTTTGTGTTATTAAAGGCACTATGGAGACAAAATGATCATGTCCCATGCCAAAGAAAGACCCAGGTGGAACTAAAATAATCAGAAAGCAGCAGCCAAGAATTCCTGAAGTAGTGGAGTGAAAGACAAACAACAATGTGGACAAGCCAGATGGAAATGAAATGACAATAGTAGCACCTGCAGTATGAATAGGGCGTAAAGAATAGCAGTAATGTCTCAGTAGCTATGCACAATCACAGTGAGGTAAAACACGCTATTGTGTGGCAGACAGTCTCTATTAGTTACTAAATCCTCTTCGAAACAGAACTTAATGTCCTAATGCTGAGTCTAATCCTGGCCCCCGGAGTCATTGTTCTTTCAGAACAGGTAGTAGAAGTGACATATCCTGATACTTGAAGACATTTCTATGATACACAGGTTTGCTAACCAGCATTACACAGTACATAATTTTAATAACTCAGTCAAATATGATCAGCTGCTTCCAATCAGCGTTTGTAATTGTTATAAAATACTGATGATACCTGTGATATCTCAGAAAGGTATGCTGTGATATAATTTATTCAAATCAATTTTATTTGTATAGCGCTTTTAACAATAGACATTGTCACAAAGCAGTTTTACAGAAATATATAAATTCCGGATATAAATTTTAATTTATAAATTTATCTCTAATGAGCAAGCCAGAGGCAACGATGGCAAGGAAAAACTCCCTGAGACGATACGAGGAAGAAACCTTGAGAGGAACCAGGCTCAAATGGGCACCCATCCTCATCTGGGTGACGCCGGATAGTGCGATTGTAAATAATTCCCTTCTATAGCTGTATACTGTATAATCAAAAAGGGCACTTGTGTAACCAGGAACTTATGAGCTTATGAGCAACTTTTAAATATGAGCATCAGAGTTATTTCTGAATTCATTATAGTTTTAACATAAAATCTATTTTGTTGACTTTATCTATGTTAACTCTTCAAGCAAGGACACTTGAGTGCAAAACTGTGTAGCAATTGCAGTCCTAACGCTACCGTAGCAATTGCAGTCCTAAGTCATCTTTATGGTTTCTAAGTGGTACCATCCACAGTAATCTTACTGATCTTTAGGCTGTCCATATGAGGCCATCCTCAGCAGCAGCGAGTATTTTTTTTATTCTAATGTCATATTGCCCAGCCCTAGCAGTGATAGTGAAAATCCCATCAAGACTGACACGGTGCAGTGGTTGATGCAGTGTAAAATTCACACACTGCAGAACAGACAGTGGTTTATTAACCATTCCCACACCCTGATGGTTGCCTGTGCAAGGGATTAAACATCAACAACAAACTTTAATCTATATGAGTGTAGATGTGAAGTTCACATAGCTGAGCCTTCTGCCTACAGCTTTATGAAAAAAAGCACTTAAACCTGACATAATTCCCTGTCATTAAACCCACTTTGAGATGAAAGCTCCTTATATTTGCACACTTGAGCTGATGCTGAACTTCCTCTTCTTAAAGCTACATGAACTGTGGATTTTAGCAAGAGCTAGGTAAACAGCAAATGACACGCACACTTCCTAAGAAAGTTTGGAAAAGATAGAGAAAGCAGCAGTGTGGGTAGGTTTTTTGCTACCACGATGCAGTTACAGACCTGATATCAAACAAGATCCTTTCATACTAACGACATGGCTGACTCCGCCTACTTACTGGCATGTAACGCAATGCCACTATCTGTATCTTGATTTAAATCCTAAATTGGCATGAGCGAAACCAGAACACTGGAAAACACTGGAAAAAACTCAGAGGTACGTAGAAATGTCAGCATGGTCTGTGGATTCTGCCTCTGACAGTTCCTCAACCTCAGCTACATCACTCGAGTTCAACTGGCAACGTGCAAGGAACATTTTTGTTAATCCTGCTTGCTCAGTTTTTATTTTTTTTATTTTACCTGCTTGTGATATTTTCTAACAAATTCTGTTGGGTCTATTTCCAGAAATATAATCAAATTACTAGCCTACTTTGAGCCACTGTAACTCTGGCAAGGCTCAATAGCTAATGTTACAGCTAGCTACCTCCAGTTGATTAAAATGATTTCTGTTCTTTGTCCATCTTTAGTATACCATATAGTGTAATTCGCGTGAGACATGTTCCACTTTCATTTACCAGGAAGAGGACAATGACCCAGTTTCCTGACCTGTTTGCATCACTGCCCGCATCACACTCACTTATTCAAAGCCTTAATAACGGTATACAG